ATTGGATAGCCTCTGGGGCTAGTTACGGACCGTCAATAAATTACACAATGTAAATGGGACAATATTTTCATGCTGCACATCTTTTAACGCTTTCAATATTTGTATATGAATTTCTACAATTTATAGTTGGTTTGAGGTTTTTTAATTGAAATTTGGAGCTATTGATATTTTAAAATATTGTCCCATGTACATTGTGTAATTTACTGATGGTCCCTAACTAGACCCATAGGGATATCGAATATCAAACCAAATTGACCATGGGCATTACAATCAGGTATCTTGCAGCTTCGCTCAGAATTGATGATTACTTGGGTGCTGCCAGCTGTGGGCATGTGGGTAGGATTGAAATAAACCCAACCGAAGGAAAATTTGTTACAGTACCCTTCATTCCGTGACATACACTACAGTGAGGGAAAAAAGTATTTGATCCCCTGCTGATTTTGTACGTTTGCCCACTGACAAAGAAATGATCAGTCTATAATTTTAATGGTAGGTTTATTTGAACAGTGAGAGACAGAATAACAACAAAAAAATCCAGAAAAACGCATGTACAATTTTTTATAAATTGATTAGCATTTTAATGAGGGAAACCCCAAGAACACCATCCCCACCGTCAAACATGGAGGTGGAAACATTATGCTTTGGGTGCGTTTTTCTACTAAGGGGGCAGGACAACTTCACCGCATCAAAGGGACGATGGACGGGGCCATGTACCGTCAAATCTTGGGTGAGAACCTCCTTCCCTCAGCCAGGGCATTGAAAATGGGTCGTGGATGAGTATTCCAGCATGACAATGACCCAAAACACACGGCCAAGGCAACAAAGGAGTGGCTCAAAAAGAAGCACATTAAGGTCCTGGAGTGGCCTAGCCAGTCTCCAGACCTTAATCCCATAGAAAATCTGTGGAGGGAGCTGAAGGTTCGAGTTGCCAAACATCAGCCTCGAAACCTTAATGACTTGGAGAAGATCTGCAAAGAGGAGTGGGACAAAATCCCTCCTGAGATGTGTGCAAACCTGGTGGCCAACTACAAGAAACTTCTGACCTCTGTGATTGCCAACAAGGGTTTTGCCACCAAGTACTAAGTCATGTTTTGCAGAGGGGTCAAATACTTATTTCCCTCATTAAAATGCAAATCAATTTATAACATTTTTGACATGCGTTTTTCTGGATTTTGTTGTTGTTATTCTGTATCTCACTGTTCAAATAAACCTACCATTAAAATTATAGACTGATCATGTCTTTGTCAGTGGGCAAACGTACAAAATCAGCAGGGGATCAAATACTTTTTTCCCCTCACTGTACATGACCAAAGGTTTGTGGACAAATACTCATCGAACATCTCATTCCAAAATCATGGGCATTAATATGGAGATGGTCCCCCCTTTGCTGCTATAACAGCCTCCACTCTTCTGGAAAGGCGTTCTACTAGATGTTGGAACATTGCTGTGGGGACATGCTTCCATTCAGTCACAAGAGCATTAGTGAGGTCGGGCACTGATGTTGGGCGATTATGCCTGGCTCGCAGTCTGCGTTCCAATTCATCCCAAAGGTGTTCAATGGGGTTGAGGTCAGGGCTCCGTGCAGGCCAGTCAAGTTCTTCCACACCGATCTCGACAAACCATTTCTGTATGGACCTCGCTTTGTGCACGGAGGCATTGTCATGCTGAAACAGGAAAGTGCCTTCCCCAAACTGTTGCCACAAAGTTGGAAGCATGCAATCATCTAGAATGTCATTGTATGCTGTAGCGTTAAGATTTCCCTTCACTGGAACTAAGGGGCCTAGCCTGAACCATGAAAAACAGCCCAAGACCATTATTCCTCCTCACCAAACTTTACAGTTGCCACTATACATTGGGGCAGGTAGTGTTCTCCTGCATCCGCCAAACCCAGATTCGTCCGTCGGACTACCAGATGGTGAAGCGTGATTCTTCACTCCAGAGAACGCGTTTCCACTGCTCCAGAGTCCAATGGCGGCGAGCTTTACACCACTACAGCTGACGCTTGGCATTGTGCAATGGTGATCTTAGGCTTGTGTCCGGCTGTTCGGCCATGGAAACCCATTTCATGAAGCTCCCGACGAACAGTTATTGTGCTGACGTTGCTTCCAGAAGCAGTTTGGAACTCGGCAGTGAGTGTAACAACGAAGGACAGACAATTTTTACGAGCTACACGCTTCAGCACTCGGCGGTCACGTTCTGTGAGCTTGTGTGGCCTATCACTTCGAGGCTGAGCTGTTTCTACTTCACAATAATATCACTTACAGTTGACCGGGGAAGCTCTAGCAGGATAGACATTTGATGAACTGACTTGTTGGAAAGGTGGCATCCTATGACAGTGCCACGTTGAAAGTCATTGAGCTCTTCAGTAAGGCCATTCTACTGCCAATTGTTGTCTATGGAGATTGCATGGCTGTGTGCTCAATTTTATACACCTGTCAGCAACGGGTGTGGCTGAAATAGCTGAATCCACTAATTTCAAGGGGTGTCCACATACTCTTGTATGAATAGTGTAAAAAAATGTTATTTTGTGTTTTTTCCATTTGCGAATAATCGCACCAACTGTTATCACCTTCTCACCAAGCTGCTTGGCGATGGTCTTGTAGCCCATTTCAGCCTTGTGTAGGTCTCGCAAATCTCAGTTTTGGACTAGACTGACTTTATGACCAAAATTAAATGAACTGGAAAGGTGAAAGCAATATAGCTTCATCCCCATCACTAGCCATGCCACAATAAGGCTTGGAAGGGATAATAGCAGTACTAATCCCCCCCCCTCCATCTGCACAGCACTGAGCAACCTAAAACCAGTATAATAAATTGTTAATGGCATGTTTCACAGTGGCCCCGCCCCTCCATCACTGACATAACCCTGTAAACCCCACCCCCTTCACGTCCAGTGTGCTCTACCTACCAACACCTCTCTCGTGAATTCTTAATGCCTGGGATGCCCTGCAGATGGCAGCTGTGTGTGATATTAGACAAAGCCAGCAGACTGTGTTCGTGAGTAACTGTAACTCATACGCCACAGTGTGGCCAAGGGCCTTATGGGTCGCATTACACTCCCACTCCTCACATCTCACTGAATACCTTTTGGACAGTTTTGTGAGTTTGAAGTTTGTCCAGCCAATGTAATATGCTGAAATTCTCACTCCTTTGGTCACTTGTTGGTAAATTGTACATCATTGATACATGCGGTATAATATTCCTACTACTGTCTAGCAGTGAATAACATTTGTGTAATTAGGTAATAATTTCTGAAGACAAAAAAATATCAATACATTTCAAATCATTTAAATATTTTTTTAATTCAAAACCCCTCTTTTAAGATGTTTACAGCACACAAAAAACCAAACACACAACTTGTCACAACAGCCAAGGATGGAAAATAATCTATATTGAGTGTGTTGGGTCAGACTTTGGCCCCTTGACCTGTGCTTTATATTAAAACAAAATGACAAAAACTTTTATTTAAAAAAACAAACACATGAAACACCAAACGTTTGGAACTGAAACTATTTACATATTGCCTTACAAATAATAGATTAAAGTTCCTGCTATGTAAAATACCAGTACAATTATAAACTAACTTGCATCAACAGCAAGACAAAGGTAAGAATGTACTTCGGGATGCGATTAATTCCTACAACAAAGCAGTTTGACCTTAACTTTACAATGAAAACATTACGGCCATGCCACTCTGTCACTTTTACCGCAACAACAGCATTAATAGCCGGTTACAGTATTTCAAGCTAAAAACAGATATGGCCTGTTGAACCATCTGTTATGGATGGATAAGGTTAAGGCCAAACCACTGGTCCTAGAAAGCAACATCTCTATGGCCCTCACAAATGTTTTGGGATCGGTTTGCACATCAGTTGGCAGTGCGACTCCCCAGGACTAACGCTGGTATTGAAACTGCTAGACTACTTTTTTTGAACTCCGCATCTCACACTATTTTAAAAATTCCTAAAACAAGTCACATACTATGTGAGGGATGTAACAGTCTTTGCTATGCTATCTTACGGGAGACAGGACTTTCATTGATGGGTGGAAACTATCTGGTACAAAATGCATTGAGGGGAAAGAGGAGACCGCTTGTGGCAGACAACGATGACAGTAGAGGTTCCTGAACTTCCTGGTGCCTCTTTTCTAGCCTGGTATCCCTGGCCACCTGAGTAATGAGCGTGGTGCTGTGTAGAGTGCTGTCCTGTAGGGGGCATTCTTTCCTCACAGTGGCCCAGAGAGGTAGATGAGACTTGGCTGGACCATAGATAAGAAGCCTCTAGTGGCCAATAGGCCATATTAGCATGGGCAGAGCCATTGAGGGCTTGCAACATTTAAATTTAGTCAACTGGGTGGAACTTCCAACTTCATTGGCTGATCCCTCCTGGTGACCCTGTTGGAGTAATGTCTAACTGGGTCATCAGGCGGGATCAGCCAATCGTGAAGAAGAAAATGGACTACTTCAAAATGGAGACTGCCTCAATGGCGCTGCTCATGCTGTCCTCTATCTATCTCTATGGGCTGGACTGGACTCTGGGCTGCATGGCCTGTCATGGGTCTTGGAACGCCACTGGAGGTTTGTTGAACACTGATGTCAACGAGGGACAGTATGGGCCACTTCTGTTGAGCGGTGGGCTGGTCATTGTTGCTACAGCCCTTCTTAAATGAGTCCATAACACACCTCTAGTTGCAACTGATCATATCATTGGCAAGCAATTTGAGATAAATCCACCCCCCCCCCCTCACCCATTTATTTTAGACCCCTTGCACATTGAAGAGATTTGGGGTGGTCATTTACTTTGAAGGATTAACAAATTAATCGTCAATAAAATTTCATTTTCGTATAGTATCTCATATATATATATAAAAAAGAAAAAAAACACCCTCTACAGTGATATCTATGGTTTACAAAGAGAAACAATCTGCAAGATCACACTTTTTTGTTGTCATTGTTCTACAGCTTGGATCTGGATCCAGAGGTTCGCAGGGGAAAGACAAGCCTAGTCATCATCGTCGTCATCATCATCATCATCATCATCCTCCCCTTCATCCTCAACATCCCTCTTCCTCTTCTCCCCTTTGACTCCTGCCTTCTCCTCTGCACAGGACACAAGACAATCAAAATGTCAGAATTTGTCTAATAAAAAAAAAGTGGTGACCATAATTTCTAATCGGGACCAAGTAAAAATTAACAATGGCAATCAAATCCAATTGGCATTTCCCTTAATTCAGAATTCAACATCCTTCTGATGAAATCATATCCACAGGCTATGTGGGAGTTGATACACGACCCACTGCATGTTCCGCACCCACCTACCCATCTCAAAAACACCAGAGGGAAAACAAACACAGTACCACCAGTATACATCTGTTCAGTCACATAACAAAGGCCACTCTGTAGACTGAATTACCATTAGCGAAACACTGCAAGAGAGGCTAAGGAGTCCATTTTGGTTTCATGTTAATGCAGTTCTCTTGCATCCAAGTCTACTTTCAAAGGCTCCCCAAGACCTCAAATCTACTGCGTATGTATGAGATAGTAGCTAAGTATTTTTGCTGGTAATTCATATAGGAGAGGGCTGATTTATACTCCTTGCACACACAGGCGAGTGTGCTGCTTACTGAGGTCATCTCACAGTAGGCACAGCTTTCGAATCAGTGTGCAGAAGGAGTAGTTAACTTTCACATGAGGCCTTTGGCTGCATTCACAAGGTAACAACTAAATGGCCTGAACCATCTCTGGATTACATGTCCACAACCTGCAATAACTGTTAAGTCGAAAGGAATGATCTTCCTACGGTGCAGGGAGGTATTCTAACCTTGTTTTAAGTGTAGCGGGTAGACCTTGCTTGGCTTCAGAGGTCAATGCTAGCAACTGCTCTCAATGGGGATCACTCACAGATCAGTGACAAAACAATACAAGTCACATAGGGCTGAGGAACTGATCAATAGAAGTCAAACCCTCCTGTGTCAAAGAGCCAATGCCCCTTTGCTCTGAGTCATTGTCACAAATTGAGTAACAGCCAACCTGTGATCAATGTTAATAGATATGTTAATATACACAGAGAATACAAAACATTAAGAACACCTGCTCTTTCCATGACAGACTGACCAGGTGAAAGATATGATCCCTTATTGATGTCACTTGTCAAATCCACTTCAATCAGTGTAGATGAAAGGGTTTAAATAAGGATTTTTAAGCCTTAAAACAATTCAGACATGGTTTGTGTATGTGTGCCATTCAGAGGGTGAATGGGCAAGACAAAATATTGAAGTGCCTTTGAACAGGGTATGGTAGTAGGTGCCAGGTGCACTGGTTTGTGTCAAGAACTGCAACGCTGCTGGGTTTTTCACACTCAACAGTTTCCCGTGTGCATCAAGAATGGTCCACCACCCAAAGGACATCCAGCCAACTTGACAACTATAGGAAGCATTGGAGTAAACATGGACCAGCATCCCTGTGGAACGCTTTCGACACCTTGTAGAGTCCATGCCCCGACGAATTGAGGCTGTTCTGAGTGCAAAATGGGAGAGTGCCGTGCAACTCAACATTAGGAAGGTGTTCCAAATGTTTGGTATACCTGGTGTATGGTTGATTACATCAATAGATCTGTGTCAGAAAAACATAACTGACCCTTTCCAGGCTAGAGTCCATGTACTTAGGTTTGATTACAAATGACAGGTCAACAACAATTCTTGTCCTCACCCTTTTCCTTCTCCTCCTCTGCGTAGTCATCATCATCCTCTTCATCCTTAGGGGTGGGGGGAGTTAACATTCTTTAATTAAGCGTTGACTCAAGTCTTTGGAAATAAACCATTAAGATGTTTCCGAAAAAACATGACAAATATTCCAGTTGTCTCACCTGGATCCTTTCCTTCATTAGGTAGGAGAGCCCAACCTCTCCTCCTTCCGAGCCCTCCTCATCCTCATCCTCATAGTCCCCTGTCGGTCCGGCTCCGTCCTCCGCCTCATCATCATCTATGAATGAAGAAGCATTTTGTTCAAGAAAGTTCCGCTGAAATATCACTAACAGCACCATGTTGTTGTATTCTGGTAGCCATGCTCACCATCGTCGTCTGCCTCCGAGTCAGGGGCCTCGTTGTCCTCCTGGTCGAAGCCGTCCAGGTAGGTGACCTGAGGCAGCAACTCGAAGATGCTCTCACGGTACTCCTCCAGTGTGGTGATCTCACAGTTAAACAGGTCCAGGCTCTTCAGGTTCTTCAGATTTTGCTGTGGTTTTAGAGAGAAGAGGTTAGAGCACAACATCCTATTAAACAATCCTTATTAACATAATCTATCCATGCACAAGTCCTAGTCTCCTTGTGAATGGGATAATTAGTTTGTGATATAATATAATACCCGACGCTAACAGTAGTTTTCTCAGATAATATAAAACCAGTAGCCTCAGGGCCGACTCTAGCCTTTTGGGGGCACTAAGCGAGATTTTTAACTTGCACCTTGTGTATTCCACTATTCTAACTCTCAACAGTAAGTTATCGTTAGTCATTGTGTATTTATTCCTTTGTTATAATTTTTATATTTATTCCTAGTGTTATTATTTTTCTATTTTTTCTCTTCGCATTGTTGGGAAGGGCCCGTAAGTAAGCATTTCACTGTTAGTCTACACCGGTTGTTTACGAAGCATATGACAAATAAAATTTGATTTGATTTAAGACTGACTGAGTTATGCCTGGAGTTGCCCCTAATTGTAGCCTTAACGACTACTAACCAGGGCCTCAACGTTGCTCAGCTCCTTGATCTTGTTGCCACTCAGGTTTAGATACGTCAGGTTGGGGGATTTCTCTGAAAGTGTCTCCAAATGACCCGAGATGTTGTTGTCACTCAGCTCCAACTGTGAGGAAAGAACATAATCATTTCTTGATTAATCATTTAGGAACAAATATGTAATCCTGGTCATTGGGAGTAAAACCAGAGTGGCTTATAATTCTGCAAACAAATTATTTTGAGTGAGATAATCGATTGCTCAAAAGGATCCGGCTTCCCTACTCACCTTGCGCAGTTTGGGCAGCGAGGGTAGCTTTGCCAGGGAGGTGAGTCCAACGTTGACCATGCTGAGGAATTCCAGCTCCTTAAAGTCATCCGTCAGGCCCTCTACTTCACCATCACTGGTGCGGCAGTTATCCACCACCAGTTCTGCCACCTGTAGGAATAGTCATCACGATAAATTGGACACTCTTGAAAATTAGGTGGTGCATCAAGAGATTTCATCCTGCAAAATGTTAAATAAATAAATGAATTAAACTAAAAAGTTAAAAGCAAACATTTTTAATTTGTTTGGTTTAATTCACCAGTTATTTAGTAAATCTTATTACATGTTAATTGGAAAAGCTGACCCTTGACCTAAAGTCAGCTGTTTCCTGTGAGAGCACATGCCTTTTCAATAATTTTCTGCTTGAATGCCTTTTAGTGTGTACACAAGACTGAGGCCCTGTCTGGAAAAACGCCACAGCGGGACTAGCTAACTTGCTACAAGGCTTCAAAAGAGGTAACAGTATAAATGTGCTAACCAATGATGTGTATAAACCCTGGATGACTGACAGGGGGCGCTGTATTGAAGCCACCGCACAGCCATCTTGGCACTCCTCCATTGTAAATAATATTTTGGAAGCTATAGAAATGCATTTAATAATGTCTACATTCTTTGACATGTATTCTATTACAGACACATTCATGCATACTTAATATAATTTCAACAAAAATAAAAACATGAAAAAAATACATAACATTTTCCATAAAATACTTAAATACATGTAATTCTGTCCTTGAAACATTTAATTGAAATACTGTAGAATTACATTCATTCCTATGGGGGATTGGGTAGTGCCAATATGGCTGACTGGTGGCTTCAAAGCCTCTCAATGGCCAAAACATACACTACATGACCAAAAGTATGTGGACACCCGCTCGTCCAACATCTCATTCCAAAATCATGGGCATTAATATGGAGTTGGTCCCCCCTTTGCTGCTATAACAGTCTCCACTATTCTGGGAAGGCTTTCCACTAGATGTTGGAACATTGCTGCGGTGACTTCAGCCACAAGAGCATTAGTGAGGTCGGGCACTGATGTTGGGCGATTAGGCCTGGCTCACAGTCGGCATTCCAATTAATTCCAAAGGTGTTCGATGGGGTTGAGGTCAGGGCTCTGTGCAGGCCAGTCAAGTTCTTCCACACCGATCTCGACAAACCATTTCTGTATGGACCTCACTTTGTGCATGGGGGGATTGTCATAATGAAACAGGAAAGGGCCTTCCCCAAACTTTTACCACAAAGTTGGAAGCACAGAATCGCCTAAAATGACATTGTATGCTGTAGCATTAAGATTTCGCTTCACTGGAACTAAGGGGCCTAGCCCGAACCATGAAAAACAGCCCAAGACTATTATTCCTCCTTCACCAAACTTTACAGTTGGCACTATGCATTGGGACAGGTAGCATTCTCTTGGCATCCGCCAAACCCAGATTTGTTCGTCGGACTGCCAGATGGCGAAGGATGATTCATCACTCCAGAGAACGCATTTCCACTGCTCCAGAGTCCAATGTCGGCGAGCTTTACACCACTCCAGCCGACGCTTGGCATTGTGCATGGTGATCTTAGGCTTGTGTGCGGCTACTCGGCCATGGAAACCCATTTCATGAAGCTCCCGACGAACAGTTCTTGTGCTGACGTTGCTTCCAGAGGCAGTTTGGAACTCGGTAGTGAGTGTTGCAACAGAGGATAGACAATTTTTAAGCGCTTCTGTACTCGGCAGTCCCGTTCTGTGAGCTTGTGTGGCATACCACTTCGCGGCTGAGCTGTTGTTGCTCCTAGATGTTTCCACTTCACAATAATAGCACTTACAGTTGACCGGGGCAGCTCTAGCAGGGCAGAAATTTTACAACTGACTTGTTGGAAAGGTGGCATCCAATGACGGTGCCACGTTGAAAGTCACTGAGCTCTTCAGTATGGGCCATTCTATTGCCAATGTTTGTCTATGGAAATTGCATGGCTGTGTGCTCGATTTTATACACCGGTCAGCAACGGGTGTGGCTAAAATAGCCGAATCCACTCATTTTTAGGGGTGTCCACATACTTTTACAGTGCATTCGGAAAGTATTCAGACCCCTTGACTTATTCCACTTTGTTACATTACAGCCTTATTCTAAAATGGATTAAATCAAATTTTCCCTCAATCTACACACAATACCCCATAATGACAAAGCGAAAACAGGATTTTAGAAATTGTTGCACATTTATATAAAAAAAATGTTTTATACCTTATTTACATAAGTATTCAGACCCTATGCTATGAGACTCGAAATTGAGCTCAGGTGAATCCTGTTTCCATTGATCATCCTTGAGATGTTTCTACAACTTGATTGTGGAGTCCACCTGTGGTAAATTCAATTGATTGGACATGATTTGGAAAGGCACACACCTGTCTATATAAGGTCCCACAGTTGACAGTGCATGTCAGAGCAAAAACCAAGCCATGAGGTCGAAGGAATTGTCCGTGGAGCTCTGTGACAGGATTGTGTCGAGGCACAGATCTGGGGAAGCGTACCAAAACATTTCTGCAGCATTGAAGGTTCCCAAGAACACAGTGGCCTCCATCATTCTTAAATGGAAGAAGTTTGGAACCACCAAGACTCTTCCTAGAGCTGGCTGCCCGGCCAAACTGAGCAATCGGGGGAGAAGGGCCTTGGTCAGAGAGGTGACCAAGAATCCGATGGTCACTCTGACAGAGCTCCAGAGTTCCTCTGTGGAGATGGGAGAACCATCCAGAAGGACAACCATCTCTACAGCACTCCACCAATCAGGCCTTTATGGTAGAGTGGCCAGACGGAAGCCACTCCTCAGTAAAAAGGCACAAGACAGCCCGCTTGGAGTTTGCCAAAAGGCACCTAAAGGACTCTCAGACCATGAGAAATCAAGATTCTCTGGTCTGATGAAACCAAGATTGAACTCTTTGGCCTGAATGCCAAGCGTCACGTCTGGAAGAAACCTGGCACCATCCCTACGGTGAAGCATGGTGGTGGCAGCATCATGCTGTGGGGATGTTTTTCAGTGGCAGGGACTGGGATAGTAGTCAGGATCAAGGGAAAGATTAATGGAGCAAAGTACAGAGAGATCCTTGATGAAAACCTGCTCCAGAGCGCTCAGGACCTCAGTCTGGGGCGAAGTTTCACCTTCCAACAGGACAACGACCCTAAGCACACAGCCAAGACAACGCAGGAGTGGCTTCGGGACAAGTCTCTGAATGTCCTTGAGTGGCCCAGCCAGAGCCCGGACTTGAACCCGATCGAACATCTCTGGAGAGACCTGAAAACAGCTGTGCAGCGACGCTCCTCATCCAACCTGACAGAGCTTGAGAGGATCTGCAGAAAAGAATGGGAGAAACTCCCCAAATGCAGGTGTGTCAAGCTTGTAGCATCATACCCAAGAAGACTCGAGGCTGTAATTGCTGCCAAAGGTGCTTCAACAAAGTACTGATTAAAGGGTCTGAATAGTTATGTAAATGTGATATCTGTTGTTTAGTTTTTTTTGCAAGAAAAATCTAAAAACATGTATTCAGTTTGTCATTATGTGGTATTGTGTGTAGATTGATGGGGGGGGGGGGGGGGGGGGGGAACTATTGAATCAAATTTAGAATAAGGCTGTAACGTCACAAAATGTGGAAAAAGTCAAGGGGTCTGAATACTTTCCGAATGCACTGTATAAATCGTACCTTTAAGATTTAAATAATATGCTCCCCAAAACAAGAGATGGTAAAGGAGGCTGGTATTGTCACAGCCTTAGTCTGGTTTTATCTTCACTTAATGCCTCTCGATTGTAAAGGACCAGTTCTGTGCACATCTCGATATTGTCGTTGAGTGAAAAACAGTGGAGATGTAGCCTACATCCTATACAGTAGCACCTGCAAAATGGACATCACTGCCGAATGCACAGCATTGTTATGTAACTACAGAAATGGTAAGCGAAATAGGTTTGCCGAAGTCTAGAGTCAGTGGCATGAATGAATGGGGACCTGGCTTGTCAACCCTCAGACAAGCGCCATCTCTGAGGTTTGGGGGGTTTACTGTAGCCTGATCTACTAAATTGGGGGTAGGTCTGAGCCCCGCACGCCATCTGCCATTTTACTTAAATTCATAAAACGCAGAACAGGACCACAAACTCTGCTACACTTTAATGTGTACATATACCTTTTACACAGACATCGTCGTCGTTAATCATAACGAGGAAAAGCCTGTTGTTACATAATCACTACATCATGGAGGCGAAAGACAACTTGCTTTCCGATGGGAGTACAAGTAGACTATTTAAATGGACGGCGGAGTGAATCGTATAGGTGTATGAAATTAGTTTGGGAAGTAAACTTTCTACATTTAGATTTAGGCCTACATGTAGGCGCATAATACGCACAATTTATCCATTTACGTGTGTCTAAATCGAGTTAAACTGGTTATCACCGTCAAAATGGGCTCCTGTATAGATGTAACAAAATGACTTCCACTCCCCGCCCGTCAGAAACAGGGCTCAACAGCATGCACTGTACAAGAAAATCCTCTACACTGGCGCCACCGTAGCCAGTGCGTCTCGCTCCGACAACCGTCAGCTCGCGTGCAGGCTGGTTTTAAATTGCTTATAAGTTATTGCAGGCGCTGTTCATTCGAAGTATTGATGTTTAAATCCCGTGGACTTTTAAAAATGCTACGGTAAAATAAATGAGTCTTAGCTAAACCCATTCGATGAGTAAAATGTCTGCTCAGAGAAACCAACCAGCTTGTTGTGACATTTGGTTAACCTGGTAAGATCTGTCAAAAGCCTCCTTACGCATGGAAAGCTTGAGTTTTTAAATTCGACAGAAATAGTTATTTGCATCGGAATTCATATGGAATAACATCAGGCAACTTCCAAGACAAACCAATTAATCGCATCCCGAAGGCAATCAAAAGTTATTTCACATTTTCATGTCAGTGGTGAATTCTCTATTTGGATTAGCCTGCTATATTACAGGAGTCAACACGACGTCAGATGAGCCCTATTAAAGATGTTATTGGCTTTTCACAATGTCACTATTCTCACAACAATAGCATAGTCAGAGGGGAATGTGTTCTTCATAATTATGCCCGCTCCGCCACCTTGAACGTTCAATGGATCTCTCGCCGGGCGCAAGACAAGGAGGAGGAGGATGGCAAAGACAGTGTTGCAGATCTATAAAATGCTATTAGAATCACAAAGCGATCTAAATTGCAGTTCGTTTTTGTACAGCAACCAACATATGTTGTGATCGGACGAATAATCAGAATCCCAAACAAACAAACTTGAAAACCTAATTGGACTCGCATCCTCTCTTGTTGTTAATGTGCAGAGCGGAGCCTCGTAAGAAATCCTGCTCTTCTCTGGGTTATCCGCTCGCATAGTTATCACCTCATGTTTAAGATAAATAATGGCAAGATCACTTACCTCTGCTGGTGTCCTATTCCTCAATTCTAAACTGATCCTCTTCTTCATATCCATTATTAGTAAAATATAAAACACTAGTTTAACGTAAAAAAAAAAAAAAAAATCCTATCAAATTTCTGAAACTCCAGAGTTTGGACCCACAGCCCGGTTTTCTTGGATGGCCACAGTTCTACTGATCCTCCATGATACTTCGCACCCAGCCCCTCTATCAGATCCCGCCCTTTGGAGCTCTTGATAGGCCAGTTCTATCTTCCTTCATCTTAATCGGATGATCGAAACGCCAATCAACCAGATCATGCCGTTCAACATAATCCGCCTCTTACGACCAAGGTGATTGGTTGTGATTGCGCGCGCAGTAGATTTAGATGGGTCAATGCGAACGTCAATATCATCCTTTTAAACCACGGGGTCTTCCTTTTAAACCGTCGGGGGCGTCACTAGTTAACACAGCGACAAAGTCATGATTATGTCTAAACCCCGCTCATTTAAAAAAATGTATAGTCTTAAAATCTGATTTTAAACCTAACCTTAACTGTAATTTAAACCTAATCACACTGCTAACCTTACGACTAAGCCTAATCTTAAATTAAGACCAAAAAGCTGCCGATCCGATTTTCCTCGGACCTTTTTTTCTCTGGACTACGTGCGGATCACGTTTTGCGCATGTGTTTATGCTCCACTTTAAGCACAGACCATGTTCGAGAGGATCGAAACATTAATATATCATTGGTAAATTGTGACTGACTGACCGATCTACAAATAATAATGAGTAGGCTACTAGTTATTTATGATGCAAGGTTTGTAGATCAGTCAGTCGCCTTGCACTGTCAAATAACCCAATAGTCTCTGCTCTACCAGAGATCTGTACATAATGAGGAGATGCTCATGTCTCCACCCTAACAATAGGAGTCGTTTTTTTTTCGTTTTTTCTCCCAGGTAAATTGACTGAGAACACGTTCTCATTTACAGCAACAACCTGGGGAATAGTTACAGGGGGGAGGAATTATGGCTGGGGATGATTAGGTGGCCATGATTGTATGAGGGCCAGATTGAGAATTTAGCCAGGACACTGGGGTTAACACCCCTACTCTTACAATAAGTGCCATGGAATCTTTAGTGACCACAAAGAGTCAAGACACCCGTTTAACATCCCATCTGAAAGACGGCACCCTACACAGGGCAATGTCCCAGTCACTGCCCTGGGATCTTTTTTTTTAGACCGGAGGATGCCTCCTACTGGCCCTCCAACACCAATTCCAGCAGAATCTGGTCTCCCATCCAGAAACCAACCGTGCTTAGCTTCAGTGCAGTGGGATGCAGGGTGGTATGCTGCTTGTCTCAAAGGCAGGAAGGCAGGTGACAAGCGTAGGTCCAAAAAAAGCCCATAGAAACGCATTGGTCTTATTTTGGACAGATTTTGGCAAGAGAAACCTCTCGCTTCGGCTCTTCCTCTCTGGCTCTACTCATAGAGAACAGGCTACTCTGGCGAATGGTGTTCAAAGTTTAATAAAGTTAGATCAAAGCTGAATCAATGGGCGCGTTCGAGCAGATCACTTTTGTCAAGTCGGTGACCATCGCGCCTTCCAAAGTGTGTTGCATTATGGGGATAAAAATGATCCGACTTGCAACTACATGACCACTGCTTGAACTTTACAAAAACCATGTGATCAAAGGTCATAAAGTTTAGACTGCAGTCCACTGCAAATCTCTGCAGTTGCTCTTCACCAACTTCCTCCTGCAGCCATCACCTGCATTGTGGGAGGCTCTATTGTCAACCAATCATTAGGGTGTTTTTGTTTGACCCACGTGAATGTGACCAAAGACATGACTAACTTTGCAGTGATACATGTATACAGTCTATATGTACAATTGAATGTGATATTTGATGCTCTCTCTCACCAATTGATAGTACAATGTACACACATATATTTCAACATTACAAAGAAAAACTTTTTATAAACAATGGCAACACTGCCATGTTGCTCTGAGCCCTGCTGTTGGAAAACCACATCAGTGTCCGACTTTCGGCTGTCGCAGATGCATCTCCCCCTACTTCACTCTTCGACTTTCGTCTACAGTCGGTTGCTTTTGCCTTACCACTCAAACGATCCCAATGTCTGTACATAACTATAGTATTCTACATAATAGAACCAAAATAATAGTATAGTATTACTTTACTGTACGAAAAAAACACCACCGCATTTTTCTCTCACATGGCCAAAACTCAACAGCATGCGTCACTATGCAAAATACAGAGGTAAACTAATCTACAGTTTAATTAACACCATCTGCTCTAAAATTCGCTCACAATACATAATTCAAAACAACACTATAGTCTACTTAGAAACAACACTGTATAACTCAAGAAGATCTACATGCATATCCCCATGAAACTGGATGGGATCAAATGGTTGGTATGCAAATGCTGCATGGACGTTTCACCGGTAAAACGTGGATAATTATAATTCACGATTGACAGTGGGAAATGTGTATAGAAGGAGACCACAACAAATGTGTGAGTAAAGTAGAGGTAAAGAAGCAAATGTGCAGAACCTGAAAAGTCTGATCCGCAGCCACAGCTTTAAACCATAAATCCACCCACTCTTTGTTCTCATTGGCGCCTTTATTCAAGAGCTACAGCCCTTGTCACCCCACCACCCCGTTTGATATACAAGGCAGAATATCCAGTTGAAACTGTAACAAAATGGCTGACCATGTACCACACCAAGCATGGGGGCTTAAAGAGGAGAGGCAGTAAGCCACACCATCTGTGCGATGTAAATGACCGCTCAGCTGCTTTGCTCTCATAGACCAAAGTCCTTTGCACTCAGTCTTACATCATATCAAGCGTGTGGTGTTTAAAAGCTATTCTTGCAGTCTAATCTTTCTTTGTGGATCCAATGGGGATGGAGACTCATAATGGCATGTCTGTTCGAAGGTATTACTATAAATCTGTATAGGCCTATTTGTGTATTTGTCTTGGACGAGCAGTGTGGTTTTATGATGCAACATTGCAGGTAGCGTAATTTTAAAGGGTTAATTTCATATGTATTCCAAAATATGCACATTAGGCCCAAGCTTTATTTATTTAGTATTTCACATTATGATAAGATATCCGTTAACCCATTGTAAAAAAAACAACACGTTTACAGAATGTTAACGGATGAATGCAATGTTTCAAGGTGACCACAAGAGGGACAACCTACACTGACCTCTGAGAAGAGTGAATATCCTGACACTCACTCACTAAACTGATTTGCTCATTAAGTTACCAGAATGGAGGTTTATATCCACCATTGCTGTGCATGTCTGTTTCCACAGGCGACTTTTTTTTGTCACTTATGGATCGATTCACAGATATTGCACACCCAGTCGTGAGAAACAAAATTGTTTAACTCATTATTACTACATCCACAAACTCTGTTATAACACCTTTTACTACACAGAAGTTTAAAGCATATTTTTCCCTTATAGAGATTTAGACAAGTCTAGCAAATTACCACCTCCATTGGTTTTGGTGAGGCCTAAAACATGCCAGACTACAAACTGTGGAGCAGTAAACATTTTAGGGAAAAGTTAGGAGAGATAGTTAAAGCTGGTTCGGCACATTTTTTAAATTACGTTTTTTACATGATTCTTTCAGAGAAAGACAGAGTTTGAAAAGCAACAGGTTAATGAACCATATATTACGTTTTATATTGTAAACCATAACTTTGGTGACTGTACAGCAAGTTATCCCCCCAAAAACAGAGTGCTGTACTATCAGTGTCCACAAGATGGCAGACGAAGCAAGGATTAAGTCAAAACCGGATAAAACTGGATATGCGTAATCACCCATGCACAGACATTGCTATGCCTTGTATCCTGGTATATTTATTTTCAATGGCAAGTCGCTAGAGGGTGCAATAATGCTTAAGCCAACAACCTTATCGGTCTTTTCTTCTTTGACTTTGAATAGAGGCGTACAAATGCTGTTATAACATTCGCAAAATGTTTACCGCAACTTAGCAGTTATTGTAGCTACTAAAACAGTGCTTTTTTCTCAACCATTGCACTTCTCATTGAGTCCTTGTCGATAATCTTCTTTTGTTAGTATTCCAGCACTGATTAGGCTATACATGCTTTGGAACCCTAAAAGATTCAGAAGTACTAAAACTTTCAAGGTAGTAAGATGTCATAGACCTATTGATTTGTGTTCTGAAATAATAATTTCAGAAACAGCAGGTCAGGGGTCAAATTCAAGGACTCATTGCTGGGGAATTCCATTCATGGTGGAACCCCAGTGATTCTCCTCCTTGACCCTGGTAGTGGATTGTTGTCGCATCGTTGCAGCGTTTCCTACAGTCCTTTGTCTGCCGGCAACATTGTGACCTACTGCTGTTCATATACAGTGGGGGTTAGGGTGTGATCAAACTAGAACAATGATAGACACACACTGGTGGAAAACCTCAGCAAGGAGCAGCTGCAGCAATGACCCTGTCTGGACTCTCTTGGGTCCTCAATGGGTTGAAAATGGGAATAAAATGCATGTAGATCTTGGTGGGGCAAACGCAAAAATGTTTTGTTTTGATGCATGCCAGCAAAGCCACTACACTACACAACACTAAACAATACATTAATTGCACTATAATGGTGACAAACGGTGCCCACAAACAGTTAGGGCCTACATAAAGCTGTCTTTTTAGCACCATGGAGTGAATCCTTACCACCACTACACCAGCTATCAGCGGAACCTTGGCTGGCAGCGAAGCAGTTCATTCAGCCTCATTTACTGCCTTAAAAAAACAACATAGCTGATATGGCTGACTTGCTTAAACAAATGTGGTTTCTACTGACAATTGAGATGTAAAAACTATGGCATAAGGGAACGACGAGTGGATAAGAGGCAATCCGTAATTTTGATTAAGACATTAATGAGCGAGCTAGGACGAACGTAGTCAATATAACAATTTGTTCAGCACTTTTGAAATGTACAGCGACCGAATTCAGAACATGGGCCGTTCTTACAGTATTCTCCCTGTACACCAAGTCAGAACTGTAGGATAAATAAAGGGGGCATATAAGCAGACAATGAAAGCTCTTACAATATTCTATGATTACATTTCTCTAAAACAGGCTATAGGCTACATGTGCACCACCAAGTCAGAACAGTAGGCTAAGTTATGAGGGAGAAGGGACCAAATTATTAGGGTGAGGCACATGGGC